CATCCCCCTTGCTTATCAAGGGTGTTTCCTACACAAGCTCCTCATCAGATTTACAGCCTAACCACCCAACAGTTCCTCCTGATGTCTAACCTAAACCCTTCTTGCTGCAAAACTCCCATCCTGGCCTTCTCTGCTTGTTCCCCAGGTGAGTCTGCAGCACAATTCTTCAGGTTCCTCTTACCTGCTTCAGACCCACATAGAGCTCGTAGCTGTTCCTTGGGACTCTGTATCCCAGTCCATTAGTCACCATGGTTGCCACCTGCCCCCTTCCCCCACCCCAGAGTGTCTCCCAGGAGCAAGTGAGTGAGCCTGCAGTCATTTGGGAGAGAGAGTTCCAGATAGAGGGAGGGGACCCTGGAAGGATGAACAGTGAGGGGCATGATTAATCCTGCTCTTCCCCAGCAACCCAGGAAAGACAAACGTCCTCTTGAAACCACAACCATAACTGAGTAGCAACCTGGGTCCAATGCCCTGTGTGCTGAGCCTCCCTGGTGGCACCTGCTCCAGACACCTGCTACCAATGCACGAGGTGGTCACTCCAGCCACCACAGCCCGGGTCCAATGTGCCAGGCTGTCCTCGGCCCAGGTGTTCCTCTCAAGGTGCCTTGGGCTTAGGCCTCATGCCTCCCCGCCAGTCCCTGGGCTGAGGGCTTATGATCCAACCTGTGTGCCTGGCTTGCTTCTCGTCTGTGAGATGAGAAACCCAGTGCAGAGACACCATGAGGAGCTGCACCTGCCATGATAAGCACTTCCTTGGTGCTGCTCTGTCTCTCTCTCTCAGTTTCTCTTTCTGGACAATGGGTCAGATCCCATCAGCCACTCCTGTCCTTCCCAGGCTAGAGCTTGCCCTGGGGGCCCTACAGAAGGAGTCTTGGCCTCTCTGCTTGGTCAGTCAGCCTGGGGAGCTGCCACAGAGCTTGGCAGAGACCAAGTCTCCAATGGACTGTGTCCTCTGTTCCCCAGAAATTCTGTTTACATGTCACCTGGTAGCTTCATTCTTGGGTTGTTCCTTGAGCTGCTCAAGGGAGTCCCTTTCCACCCTAGGCAAGGATTCTACACACTTCAGCTCCTTCCCACTCCTTCTGCCATCCTGGGGCTCAGCTTCTTTGAATATCCTGGTCTGGCCTCACTACTCCCAGGCAGCCTACCCTGGTTGGCCTCTACTGTAAGCAGGTAACCTCCTAACTTGCAGCCTAATGGGCCAAAGCCACCCTGTAGAGCTTTTCCGCCCCTGTTCATGAAACGTCTACTATGTGTCAGGTGGTGTGCTAGGAGTTTCCGCCATCATCTTTCATCGAACCCTGCAAAGTAGGTGTTCTTATGCCCACTTTAAAGATGGGGAAACTGAGGCTCAGAAAGGCTAAATCATGTATGCAAGGTCACCGGTTAGTAAGTGCAGAGACAGAGTTCAAACCAAGACCAATGTGAAACCCCAATGCATGCGTTGATCTCTGGAGGGGAGCCATGGTGTGGTGTATGCGTGTCGGGAGGGCCTCCCCAATGAGACTACTCCAAAGGCAAAGCTGTATCTTTCTCTCCAGACTGTGCATTCCTAAACAGAGAGTCCTATCTAACCTTTCCTTAGTTTACCTACAGTGCCCAGCACAAGACTGCTCACTGGCAATGCCAGGGAGGGCTTCGCAGGCCGGGGTTTGGGTACTGTGGGCAGGGCATGACTCTGGCTGGCCATCTCACGGCTTATGCCTGCTCCTAAACATAATCAAATGTCTGACCTTCCAGAAGAAAATCTTCGGCCTCCAATCTCTGCTTTCACAACCCCCAGTGCTCAGCATATTAGAGACCCCCCCAGGGTGGGCCAGGAGGCAGGCTGCTTGGTCTGGAGAAGAAAGCTGGGGCAGGAGGGGCAGGCAGAGGGGCTACAGTGCCAGGGGCAGAGGGTGGGCACTGAGACACCTGGAGCTGAGAGAAGGGGCAGATACTAAGTTCCTCTCTGCTCCATGTTGATTGTCACCAACAGTGGCGGCTGAGCCTCAGCGAAACATGAACCCCTTGAGTTATTCCAGAAGTTGTCTTGAAGCATTGACTATGCCCTGAGCACCTCTCTAAGCAGGGACTTGAGAAAGCATTGAGTCTCACAGACCTAGATTTGAATCTGCCTCTGCATCCCTGGCTGGGTGACCTGAGGCAAGGCTCTCCCCCTCTCTGAGCCCACTTTCTCCCCCAGGGTTGAAGGAGAACTAACTAGGTCAGGAGGGCAAAGGCTCAGCTTGGGATAAACACCCAACAAATGGCAGCTTAAAAATAGATAATGAACATGAAATGACTCCTCGAGACAGCTTTCGTGCCATAATCTGGTTCCAGCCACTTTCCTGCTGGCTTGGGTACAAGTGCCTGCAGCTTGCTCCTTCCCTGGGAGGCAGGAGGGGCTCAAGTCTCAACTCCCTTTGCAGCCAAGGAGATCCATAACTGAGCACAGAAGGTTAGTAATATGAACTATAAAGGAGAGGAACAGCTAATGAGTGCTGACGGGGTGGTGTGGCAGGTACTGGTCTGGGTGCTTCGAATGAATGAAGCCACTGAATTCCCCTGCCCCTCCCCCCAACTCCGACAACCCTATACAGGGGAGAACACTGAGGCACACACACACACAAGGTTAAGTAGCTGAAGCAGGTCACGCGGTGGGAGTGGTGGAGTAGGGATGCAAACTGGCCATCTCGGGGTTGGCTTAACACCCTAGATCTCTCAGCCCAACATGCAGAAGCTAACTGCTGGATGGGGTGGTTCTCTCAGGTGTGGCCTAAACTTGGGAATTGGCTCCAGGAGGGCGCAGACTTCAGGCTCCACATGACATCATCAGTACTACTCTCACGAATCCTGGCCTCCACTCCAGGCTGTGTATCTGGCTTAAGCAAGCCATTGGCACGTGGAGACTGTTGTTAACATCAGGTGTAGGTGTAGAAAGCAGATGGGGGCTCAAGCAATAGGGCTGAGGGCTGGCTGTGTGGTGCAGAGATAAGGACACAGGCTCTGGAGTCAGCATGCCAGGATCAAAATCCTGCCTTTGCTGTTTCCTAGCAGGGTGGCCTTGGGCAAGTCACTCAACTGCCTTCTACCTCTGTTTCCACATTTTAAAAATTGAGACTATGATATATATAACCTGTTAGTTTGTGTGCCTAAAATTTTCTGACTAGTACCTGGTAAGCTGTAAGTACTCAGACAGTATTGGTGACAATGAGAAGAGTGAGTGGTCTCTGTTCAGTGGGTCACCCACCCACAGCTTCTGAAATAACAGTCATCCTCAAAATCTCCTTTCCCCTCTATCCAACTTGCCTGGGTGCGTGTTGAGACTATAGTGGCCCCAGCCTCTCAGGAGGGGGACAAGTTTTGAATGCACAGCTAGATTGGGGGGGGGGTCTGACACCCAGAGCCCAGGCTGCAGATGGAGCAGGGCAGAAAGCATCTTGGCCAGCGTGACCTCAAACAGCCCTGAGGAAGGCTGCAGCGGGAACCTTGGGTAGGGGGACAGAGAACTTGGATGGCAGCATTACCATGTGACCTTGGCAGTCATCTCTTCTTCTCTGGCCTCTGGCCTCTCAGTGGGCTTTCAGCTCACAGGCCAGTTCACCTAGGGGCAGGTCCCCATAGCACTGTCATGGGATGGCCAAGTGATGGGAAGGGACATTGAGAAAGCATTGGAGACTACTCAAAGCCTTTGGAATATCTGGGGACACCTCCAATGCTGAAAGCATGGAACTCCTAACAACCCTTCAGCATCCTCCACTCTGAAAGCTGCCTTGCTCTCCTGCTTGGATGCAGGCCTCCTGGACCAGGTGCCGTGCTGGGCTCCTCACACTGGAGCCAATGCTCCTGGCACACAGTATGCATCATCTTAGTGAAAAGGACAATCCACCTGACACTGCCTGACCCTGTTCCTTCCCCTCCTCCACCCCTGATCCCACTTCCGACACCCTCCAGAGACATTCTGAGAACCAATAAGCAGAGCCCCTCAGAGTCTAGAGGATGGGAGGTGGGGTGTTGTGCTCCTTTCTCACCATCCCCCAAAACACTGAGGTCTGCTCCAGGGCCTGTCCAGCTCCTCCCAAGGCCAACTCATCTCCTCTGCCCCTGAGTAAGCTACCGGAGGTGACAGGTGGGTTGGTACCTTGTAATTCAGGTCAGTGAATTTGGCCCCAAGCTGCAGCAATTGGGCCAAGGCCAAAGACACTCCCCCACTCCCAGCCCCACCCTCTGGTCCCACATGGGGTGAAGAGTCCCAGGTTTACTAACATGTTGCCCAGCAGCCTGTGGGGAATGGAGGGCTCCAAAGACCAACTGCCTGTCCCGAGACTCTGTGCAAGACCCTGTGCCTCCAGATGAGGCAGGTCACTCCAGCTTCCTGGTACCACCTTGGGGACAGCCAAGGGTGCCAGGTCAGAGATGGTGAGAAAGGCCCAGGGGTTACTGGGAACATCAGCTGTCCTCTGACTCCTCCACCCTGTGAATAAGGATGGAGGTGGGGATGAGGAATTAGGGATGGGAGGGGAAGGGGAACCTTCTTTATAACCTGTTCACCACCACCGTTAATCCTTTCCTGCCAGTGGGGTTCAGTGACTGAAGACAGGGCATGGGGAGGGGAAGAAAGGAGATCCAGATAGGGGCGGGGAGGGAGGGTCTGCTTGCCCTCCTGGTGCCCAGCAGCCCTTACAGAGCATCAGGAAGAACCCTCCCCTACCAGGCACACCGCAGGGGGCGTGTGGCTGACAGGAAGAAAGCATGGATGGCACGGGGGACCCTGCTTCATGTCACCTGCCGGGTGCGAAGTGGAGCCAGGGATGGGGAGACCTCCGCACGCCCCCCGCGCTGCCCCCTGATCCTTCCCACCCCTACTCCCCTGGGGCACCGTGTCCCTTGGGGTGCGGCCGGTCCGTGAAGGGCGGACGCTCACACGCCCTCCCCTCCCCCCGCGCGTTTCCTTCGCGCGATCAAGAAGTGCGCTGGTCCCCGGCCCCCCACCAAGTCCCGGGCGCGGGCCCCCTCACCTCGCGACACGCAGGAGCCCATCACGGGGCTGCGGGGCCGGGCCGCTGCGCCTCGGATGCGTCGGGCCGCCGGGCGCTCATGTCTCCTCGGGCCAGGCTGCGCGCGGAGCGGGCGTAGGGCGGGAGCCGAGGGCGCAGGGCGGGCGAGCGAAGGGTTCGGGCTCCGCGCGGCTCGACCTCGATCGTCGCCGCCCCCGCCGCTGCCCCCGCCGCTGCCACCGCCGCGTCCAGCCCGCCGCGCCGCGCCCGCTGCTGCCAGGGGCGGGGGGCGGGGCCCGAGGAGCGCGCGGTGCAGCGGAGGGGGGGCGCGGGGGGAGTGCCCCGCCCCCACCCGGGGCACCTGTTGTTGCTGCCCGGGTGCGTCTGGGGGCAGGGGACAGCGGAGGAAGGATCTCTGGCCTCAGGCCTGCCGCACGCCCTGGTGGCTGGAGCTGAAGGTCAGGGAAAGGGACAGTGGGGTAGGGCGACTTCTGCATTTGGGGCTCGAAGTAAGCGACAGTAATTTAAATTAACCACGAGTCATTTCATTGTGCGCAGCAGGTGCCTGGCGCCAAAAGCCCTCAGCCCTGAGGGTCAGCGCCTTTTGACCCGCACCTCCTCACCTGGGGGAGTGGGCCAGGTGGGGGGTACAAAGGGCTGGAATAGTGCACCAGTGACCTCGGGCTCTGGCAGTGACTGAAACTCAGACTGCCATCCAAGGCTCCTCTAGGGCAGAGTAAACTGAGGCACAAGACCTTTTCTCCATCCCGGTGGCCTCTCTAGTGGAGCAGCAGGGGCCAATCTAATGACATTACACACATAATGCCACGTGTGCATTCCCCCACACCTCACACATCCCAGCCTTGTGCACAATCAGCCTTGCACACACGTTTACACGCCAGCTCCTGGGAAGGGCACCTGGGGTGCTTTAGCTAACCTCCCCAGCCCTCAACACTTCCCTGTCTGAGGCTCACACTTGTATCCCCTCCATCTTGCCCACCCAAGGATAGATCCTTGGATCTATCAGTGGTGCCCAGTCAGGAGAGGTAGCGCTGAGTCTGTTTTCCAGGCCAGAAGGTGGGGTCACACTGGAGATGGCCCCACAGGATGAGTGGGGTTTGAGACAGGGGCCTGGGGAGGGTAGACTGAAGGCATTTCTCAGGGCAGAGGCTGGTGGGGCTGCCTGGGCCTGGGCAGTGGGCTGGGATGGGGTGGGTGCCCTCTGAGGAGTGAAGTAGGGATGGGGAGTGGTTCTGTACCTGACCCTGGTATTGACAGACCTGGGTGAAGGAGGGCTCGACTCACACAAACGTGTGATCTTGGGCAACTGAGGGTGAAAAAAAACTCACCTCACCGTGTGAGGGTTAGTGAAATAACGTGCAAAAAATGACTGGCTGAAAATAAATACAGTTGGCCTTCTATACACATGGGTTCTGTATCTCTGTGGATTCAACCAACTGCAGATTGAAAGTATCCAAGACTGCTGGGTGCTGGTGGCTCACGCCTGTAATCCTAGCTACTCAGGAGGCAGAGATCAGGAGGATCGCAGTTCAGAGCCAGCCTGGGCAAGTAGTTCACGAGACCCTATCTTGAAAAAACCTAACACAAAAAAAGGGCTGGTGGAGTGGCTCAAGGTGTAGGCTTTGAGTTCAAGCTCCCATACCGCAAAAAAAGGAAAAAAAAAAGTATCCAAGTCCAAAAAATTGCCTCTGTGCTGAACATACAGACGGTTCCTTGCCATTATCTCCTCCACAATGCACAAGAACAGCTGTATCCACAGCATTTGATGGTATAAGATATCATAAATAATCCAGGGATGATTTGATTTCAAGTATAAAGGAGGACAGCACTTATGAGGTATATGGGAGGGAGTGGAGCCAAATACTAGGACACTTTGGGCTGGGGATATGGCTCAGTGGTAGAATGCTTGCCTAGCATGTGCTGGGTCCTGGGTTCAAGCCCCAGCATTGCAAAAAGAAAAAATTACTATGACATTTTATATAAGGAGTTGGAATGGATTTCCAGTGACAGGGTCTTGGTGCTAATCCTCCTGGGATCCCAGGGGGATTATACTGATGACAGCACAAGTTGGTTGAATATTATAATTTCACCACAGCATCGTACTTCCATGGGTGGACTGAAGATTTCCATTCAATGGGCATGTACAAGGTGCCTACTATGTGCCAGTGTGAACAAGCCATCTTGCTGTGTTCAGGGACAGCTGCTCAGAGTCCCTCATGCTCTGCCCTCCACATCTGGCCTCACCGAGGTGACTCTGAAGGATCATTTGATGCCCGGGTGCTGAAGGAAAACCTGGTCTGCCTGTGGTCAGGCTCTGGTCCTGTCCTGTGTGGCCTGGGGTTGAGGAACAGGAAATGTCCTCTTTCTTATTCCTGTCTCAAGTGACCGGGTCTGGCTTGGAGGGAGGGCTCTGACTCATGGTGACGCAGGAGCTCAGTCATAGCAGTTGATTCTTCCAGCTGGCATCCTGACAGCTCTGGGGTAGAAGAGACAGGAGAACCCCTGTGGAGAGGACTATGGGCATCTCACAGGGAAGGTCATGCCTGGGGACCACACTGTACCCTCTTCAACCTGAGACAGGGACAGGAGGACCAACTCAGAGATGCAGCTGGAGTGGGATGGAATACTCCTGTCTGTATCCTTCTGGCTGACCCAGCCTCTGGCATTCATAATGGTCAGTCCCATGCTGAATCAGTTCTGTTATCATATAGACAGGTGCTAAGAGAAGGGGCAAGGCTTTGTCCAAGGTCACTCAGAAAATTGATAGCAGAAGAGGGACTAGAACCCAGGTTTCCTGCCAGTCAACCCAGCCTTGGCACCAGCCTGAAGACTGGGCCAGGAGGGCACATATGGCTCTCCCTTGCATATCCACATTCACCTTCCCTGTCCTTGGAATTCTGCTGAAGTGGACGATGTTCAGACAGCACCAAGATGTGTGGCTGTCCTCCTGGGGGCAGGCTGTCCTTTCCCAGCTCACCTCACAGCCCATCTGCCCTGTAACCTTCCACTGCCTGTCCCAGGTGCCCTCCTGCCATGCCCTTTCATGGCGGACAGGGGAGAGGCCCAGAGAAGGCACCCCAGGCCATACCCTTTACACTTCACATCCTATTCTCCTGCCATGATCTTGGGCACCCAGACAGAGTCACGCTTCATCAACAGACATTCACTGCCCTGAGTGCCTGCCCTGCTCTGGGCACTGGAGTGTGGAGAAGAGGTGCTTCAGGGCCTGATGGGAGAAAGAGCAATCAATGGGAACCACTACAGTGATGAATCAGACCAGTGCCTCTCCTGGCAGTCCTGAGGGTGGGCAGGGACACTGCCAGGAGCCACGTGTGAAAATAGCTGGGAGTCAGGGTGGACAATGCCTCATCCTCCTGCTAGCCGGGTGTGTGAGTGGAACTTGCCAAGGGCCTGGGGACAGCTCCAAGGCTGCAGTGACCCTGAAACTGGAATTTGAAGGTTGGGTGGGATGTTAGCAGGCAGAGCCGGCAGAGGGTTCTCTTTGTGCAGAGGTATGGAGGCAGGGACATTTGGGGACATTGAGGGCATACATGACACCCTGGGAGAGGGTGAGGCTGTGCACAGAGGCTACCTGTCCCCAGGCCACAAGCATCTCTGGGAGAGGCAGACCTTGACAAAGTAGAAGGAACAACCAAGAGCCCTGCAGACCTGGGTCTGGGTCTTATGGCTAGAACCATATCTGATAGGTGTTCAGTAAGTATGTGTTGATTGAGTGCAAGAAATGAGACTTGCTCAAGGTCTCACATCTGGAATGATTATGGCCAAGACCTCATCAACCTTTCAGCACTGACCATGGTGCCATATCTATCTGGTGCTGAGATCGTAACAAATGAGCAGACAGGTTCCTGCACACTGGAGCCTACAGTTGTGGCCCAGGTACATTTGAAATCCTCTCCCTGGAAGTGCACAGAAGAGCCCTTGAAAGTAAGATGAGAAAGACTTGACCTGGCAGGGAGTGTCAAAGATCCCACAGCTGAAGAACACATGGGACTTGGCTGGGTAGAGAGATGGAAGGGCCCCCAGGCAGAGAAAACAGCTCATGAAGTAGTCTGGGACTGGGAGGAGGCATGGAGTCCCAGGAGGTGGCAAGGATCACAGGACAGAGACAGCCTCAGAGGAGCTTTGGTCTTTGTCAAAAAGCAATGGGGAGCTCCAATGGCCTTCCACTCACTCTCCAGAGGGATGGAGGCCTGTGAGGGCTTCCCAGTGGATGTCCCTATATTTCTAGTGGTCTGGCTCTGCCTGGAGGTCCCCAGAGCCTTACCAGGAATCCCCAAATGAAGGATTTACCTCAAAATAGGCTTGCTCTCAGCTCCAAGCTCAGGACTGGGGGCTTCTAGGTGGAATTGCCGGGCAGATGGTCTCCCTACTTCATCCCCTGGGAACAGCTGAATTGGGTAAGAGCAGGGAAAGAAAGAAAGAGAAGGCTAAGCCCTCAGTCTAATGGGGGAGAAAGAGCCCTCAGGGAGCTCCAAGTCTGATGCGGGAGACACAGCCTCTGTGCTGGGCCCTGGGATGCTGGGGAGAAACCAGCCACACCCTGGAAGCCCCCATCCTGGGCAGTAAAGGAGTGCATTGAGTTTTTCTCTGAAATGCCTGGCCCAGGTCTGGTCCATGGTGGCTTCTTTGTGACAGGATCCCTTCCTTAAGGTTCAGGGGGGCTGGCTTCCCAATTCTGGGTCTCAGGATCTCTGCAGACAGGAGGAGTCCCTAGGCAAAGATACCCAGTAAGGATTCCCTGAAATATGTATGTCATGCAGTAAATGGCCACGAGGGGGCAGGCGGAGATAGCATCATTCTAAACTGCCTCCTCTTCCTTCCTTCCTTGGCCAATTGACCCAGAAAATACCACGCTGGCATCTCAGTCCCAGCCAGGGCTCAAGGTTGTGCATGCTGTGCCGTGCACAACGGTGCCCAGCCAAGGAGGTGGGGACTGAAACCCTGCCAGTACTCAGGTCACCAAACCCTGAGTACTACCGTGGGGTTTTGACAGCATCTTTTTCTTAGTATTCATGTTATCTTCCCTGAGCCAAACCTTGTAAACCTGCATTTTCCCAGAGGGTGGCCTTTTTCTAATTGGCACAAAGTCTCCATATAGGCAGGCAGCACCCCCGAACTCAGATGTACCTGGTCCTGACCTCCATTGTACAGATGTAGAGATTAAGACCCAGGAAAGGAGCCAAGGCCAGTTAGGAGCAGAGCTGGGACCAGAACACATGGCCAGCTGGATCCCCTGCTCCAGT